GTCAAATGTAAATGATGAAGCCTCGTACCTTCAAAGGAATAACGTAAATACATCATTCCTTCAAAGGTACAAGGTGTTGCCAAACCTAAATGGTAAACCGGTAAATCCGCAACCTTAAGGCCAGCATTTGCAATTCCAAGCAAAATTTTGCCGCTTACTTACGCTAATTTGTCTCGCTGATTCCAAAAATGTAGGTTGGAGGCGCAAGACTGTCGAAAACAGCTTCTCCCATGGCACTCTGATTTAGAAGGTATGGACGCACAGTCCGAAGTCAAGATACCGTTGTAGGATCGTTTGATCATATGTGTGTTCAATAGCAGGTCTGCTCCAATGTTTGTCAGGTCTGTTCAAGGCTTGGAGAGTTAGGCTGGTGGATACCTACCAATAACCGCTCCGTTATCCTCAAGCAATAGCAGTCCCCTATTCACCTGGCATCGCAACTCCCATATGTAGTCGTATAATTTAGACTCGCATTTGGACATGTCTTTTTTCGTTGTTATGGGTATACTATCCCGTACTTTCTCTTGCTCACTCATCGAAGTACGAGCGCTTTCTCTGTTGTTCTTTGAATGCCTAGGACGACTGGCCCTATACTGCCAGTACTGACAGTATTTCCAATAAAACATCTTGGTTTATAGATACAGGTAAAGATAAATAGCTTGCTCTGGATTGCAGTTGAAATCACGTGAGTCCGGAATGTTTTCGGGCAAATTTAGGCTTTGTAAACGTGCTTTCTCGCTCTGGCTTTAGCTGCTCAGATGAAGGGGGGGGGGGAGGCTGTTGTCCCAAACAACCTCCACTTTACGAAAACGCTTTTTCAAGTAGCTCACACCAATAGTAATGATTCGAGCGAATGCTAGAAAAAGAAAACATTATCATCAAGCCCATTGGCATCCGTCGTTTTCAAATTATCGATAAATAATAAATAATAACCAAAATTTATATGGACTAATGTGCTAATGTTATGTGAAAATTGTCGGTAACAAACGAGTTCACGCAAACTAATTGATTGGATCATACTTTTTTTGCTTTTTGTAAGTTAATGCATTTCAAGTATCATTACATATAGTCGCAACAAAACATCAGCTATGACGGTGCTTTACGCTGAGCTCACTCCTCCAGCGAGGATAAAAGTTAAATTAAAGGATACCTCCTGCTTCAGAATGTACTGTAGAAACTTGACGGCGACTACAGCAAATTGTAAAAAAAAAACAACATTGCTACTGTGACTGCGATATAGGAGTAGGCATGCAATAAGCTCTGCAGTCCACAGTAGGAGCATTATTACGCAGCAGTTCACGGCTCACTGATACCTGTGTGCCAGAGCTCGTGCATTCTCGCATCTAATGACGCACTCCACCCATCATGCGGAAAAGAGCGGTGGCACTTTGTTGTTGTTGTATTTGACAAAATTGTGCGGTAATCGAGTACAAAAGGGTTTGAGGAGTTTGTGGATATTGGATATCATCCAAAATGTGGTTTTTCTGTTTGCTCATTGTATGTTGTACTTTTTAAAACATAATGACTAATGGTTGTCACTCAGATCTGGTCACAACATACTGGTTCTTTTGCCAAAGGTGTTCCGAAAGACTTCTGCTGCTATGGTTTCTATGCTTTTATAGACAAGAAGTATTGCATACTTGGTCCCAAAGAGCCTTTTACAGAAAGTATCGCAATGAGTCTCCAACGTGTGTGCCCAGGTACAATTTTGGTAAGAATTTGGTTAGAACTTGATAATAGCTTTGAACGAGAATCTTTACGCAACTAGTTGCTTGGATTTGATAACCTCCAGGTTGATACGAATGAAAATTGCTTTCTTTGCAACACTGATCAACAGTTCTTTCCAACATTCAGGGAGTTTTCAGACGTACAACCCAAGGATGATTTGCACGCTTCGATCTGCTTTGAAGCAAAACTACTATGATGAGTATAATCAATATGGAGAAGATGAAATCTATAGGATACAGTAGTAAGTCATAATTTTAGCGTTCCTCATAGCTTTTATGCATGGTTGAATTACAGCGGCGATGGTATCGTTAAAGGTCCCGATGAAGCTGCAGCGACTTTCGCGTTTTTATTCCAAGACGGCTTTTGCAATGTGGGATAAGTTTCTACACATGATAGAATAACATCGTTCTCTCCCAGCTGGAAAGCAAGCGGAAGCCTAACTGCTTATATGTGCGGCTTCATTAGTCATCCCACAGTTTTTGAGTTTTTTTTCATTCCTATAGAGGCTCTGTGCTACATTATCTCACAACTGAATTGATATTCTATAGAGCAGAGCAAGCCCTGCGAGAGATGTGTTCCGCAAAATCCTACATGTCAAAGCCAAAAGTAATAAGAATTAGTCAAAATATCAAACTTGCTTTAGTTTAATGCGGACCTCAAACTTGCTCACGCAAACTCTCATCAAACATTTACTCCATGTGCAAATAGCGAAAATAATAAAAAGACTGAAAACTTATTTTTGCTATTTCTAAAATTTAAAAATTAATTTTCTAAGTACTTTTAAAATTTCTTGAAAATTACAACTCGGGATAAATAAAAATCCACGGTTATTCTTTGAGAGAGTGTGGTACAGAATACTCATAAGGCAGCTTAGCACTGCTTTGAGAGAAGCAGATAGTTTTTGTTCCATAAGTTTCTAGTTGAAAAGCGAACTTCACGTGGATAAAACGTGGATCGCTGAAAAAAATTTGTGAGGCAAACTAATAATAGCAAAAAAACGCAAAAAGCTATTCCTTAGAATACCGTAAGTTTTCACATTATTACATGTCTGCATTGCTACCCTTACATAGCTGGGAAAAGAACGTACTAGTCTTTGTCGATCGTTACAACTGCTAGATTCAGGAGAGAGAGTTATTCGTCGAAGGTGCAATGTCACTATCGTGAGAACACAAGCAGTAAAAATGAAGTTTACTATCATTGCTGTAAATAGTATCTTTGACCGAAAATTAAAGGAGATTTTGCAGAGCCTCTGGACACATCCAACCGTCGTCTGCGGAGTGTACACTGGAGAATGGTGGGGATTTGGTGACCTGACATTTCTCTACTGCTATCTGAGAGGCGCAACTAGCTGACATTGGCTGTTTGCTTTCTAATTTCTTTTTTCTTTTTTAGGCGTTCTATGTGTACCAAAATGAAATAAACAAGAAATAATAAAAAAATATCATTGATATATGGAAATTCAAGATGTTTTTTTTTTGAAGTAAATGTTTCGAAGTTGTAATTGATTGATCTTCATAACCCTGAGCATGAGTAACAAGATCTAATCAAAGATCAATGTATTAGGTTGGCACATAAGTAATGCAACTTTTTATATAACTTTTGTCTATTTGAACGTAGCGCATCCATTTTTTGGCAACATAAGGAATATGATGTAAGCTTCTAATGCACGCATTTTTGCCGAATTTTACCATCTTATGTAAGGATTACGGTAAGTTTACGGTACTATGGGAAAAATTTTAGAATGTATCAAATTTTGCTGAAACTTGGCCAATAGGGCTTATTTGACATGCTGATCACAAAAATGAGATCCGTTTCGCATGAAAAGGCCTCGTTCGTGAGATCAAAAGATAAATTTCATTTTAGCGACAAATGAATATGATATTCGTGTTTATCGCATAGGATTGTTTAACTTCTCAAAGGTGCCCCACCTTAATTTGTGTTTAATTTTCATTTCTTTTTCACTGATTCCAATGTGCCAACTTCCATCTACATGCTGCCTATAATTGCTTTTTCATATGTTTGAATCAGGTTTCGTAGGGCTTCATGTTTGCCAAAAAATCGTGAAACCTCGATTTTCAGCAGTTTTCAAAAAATGCTTAGATTTTTTGTACTACGTTATCAAAAATCAAACGGTTTGCGCAGAGTTGCAGCTTACATCACGATCTACATGACGCCAGAAAATGAGATTGCTACATAAAATAGGAAAAAAGTTATGGGAAAAGTTGCAAAACTTATGTGCCAACCTAATAAATATAGGGGCATAGCGGCGCTCCAAGGCGAGTGTAATATACATCTCATCTCAAAAGGCCGCGGACACCAGTATCGTTCCCGTTTAAGTTGGCTATGAAATAGTGTCGTTTGCTTTGCGGCTCGTGCGGACAAGTTTTCTGTTCAATGTGTCTAGTATCTCTTCTAAGATTAGTTCAATTGGATTTCAAAGCTACAGTTCCTTGGAGTGAAGTTTTCTGCAATGAAAAAAGGCATGGAAACGCAAGATAATTTGATTCCTTGCGGAGAAAAATTTCGAATCCTATTAGACTGTAACGAGTTTTGCACGTATATCCTATATCTACATGGCGACGATCAACTGTCACTGTTAGATGATTAGCCGTTCACCCCAATTTAGTGGCATGCTCATGTTTCGGTTCGCAATGACCAGTATCAGGTTGTCCGCAAAGGTAACAGTGCAGGCAATATTACGCTCCGTACCGAGACACGATTGATAAAATTGTAACCCCTTTTTTTAAGCCTCAAAAAGAAAGCTAGCTTGCATTCAGAGATCAGCGATTGAGCCATTGAAATGTAATTTTGTGGCATTTTATTGCTAAATAGAAAAATGGTGTGTTTTGAGCGTTTCCCGTAGGTCGTAGTACATTGTCGTGAACGTTTATAATTGGAAAACACAATTTTTGAAACGGGGCGGAGAAAGATTTTATTGGAGACAGGAAACTTCTAAATTTATGAATAAATCTACAATTCTTTCGCTCCTTGCTCCTGTCCCGTTTATTTGGGCATGAAATGTGTACTGCGCGCTCCATTGAAATTGATTCCTCAAGTTTGGCAAACATAATCGCAAGAAAATTGCTTACCCATCGAATTCTCCACTCGGCACAGCCGCCACCTTCGACTCCGAAGTACACGCTCTGATTAGCTGCTCCACCCCCACCGCCACCGCCACCACCGCTCGAAGCACTGCAGAAATGGTAATAGGCTGTGACTTTTGGAGGCCACTTCTAACTTACACAGGTTGTATAGCGGCCTTTGTGAAATCACTAACTGGTCTGATTGCAGTTCTCGTCAAAAACTGGAGGGATTGCTGTCTTCGTTGTGTCACCATAACAGGGCATCCCAGTCCTTGTAAAATCTGATACTGGTCGAATTGCAGTTTTCGCTTCGTCCACTTGTCCTATGGCAGTCTTTGTAAAATCTGACACCGGTCGTATGGCAGTTCTCGTTTCATCGGAAACTGAGCGAATCGCTGTCTTGGTGAAGTCAGCACCGCCACCGGGTTTGACGGTTCCAATCGTAGTTCTAGGTTCGACTTCTGTTGTTCCACCTTCTTTACCGGCGCTAGCGGGAACGCTGAAAAGTAACTGCAGTTTAGGGCCACAATCGCAATTTTCATAAGAACTTCCGAGAAGTCTCCTCTTCCATCACCGCCACCTCTCCACCGCCACCGCCTCCACCACGGTGTCCGGCGTGCAGTAGACATTTTGAGCTCTAAACTTTATTTTCTTAACTTTTTCATTACGGAATCATGCACGAACTGATCCTCCTCCGCCACCGCCACCACTGGCTCCTGGCATCATGTATTGGCTGACAGCACCTCCGCCGCCGCACCTCCACTACTTCCACTGAAAAGTTAATCCTGTACGTTGATTAGTATAAACATATAGTATATGGACAAATTGTGAACAAACCCATATCCTCCTCCACCGCCGCCACCTCCGCCGCCTCCTGCTTCTCCGGCTCCTTTAGATGCTCCCGGCATGAAGTATACACTTTGTGCACCTCCTTTGAAGAAAAGATTTTGAGCGGCTCAGTTCAGATAGGTAGGTACTAGTATGGAGAGTGTCTCTCAAAACGCAAAGATGGTCTGCTCAGCACATAATTTCGCTGACGTTTTTTCCCAGGATTAATCGACTTTCAATTGCACGCGAAAGTTTTGTTATGCTCTAAGTGCCTCGCAGTCTGGGAGCGGATTTAGAGCTTCATTGAAGGCCCGGCTCCGACCAAACTGAGAGCATTGCGTCGCAGGTAACAAAATTAGAATGTGTGCTGGTTAACACTTTTGAACTTTTTTTTCAGCATTTTATTCGATGTTCTATAAAGAGTGCATATGCTTTGAAACTTCTTACACCGCTAGTTGTCTTCTTTAAGGTAGAGGAACGAACACCTCAAATAGGCCCCTCCTCCGCGAACTGCTGGTCCTTTGCTCTACAGTCGTGTATCGTCTTAAGACCGGTATTTCGCGGAGGCGGTGTCTAATTGAGATGTTCGTTCTTTTACCCTTTTCTTTGTTTCAAATTCCCCGAATGAAACAAAGGAGGCTTCAAAATGGAAATCCAAGAGTCAAAAAACAGTTTTGGCAATTTTTTTGTTTCTGTTTGCGCGTTTTTCATTTGATCAGGCAACTAATCAACAAACGACAGCTAGCTGATCATTGGAAGGTAACATCAGCGGGCCGAATTTCATTTCAATTCATTTATTACATGGGGGGACCCATGTCAGGTAACAAACAAATGACAGTAAGAAAAAGTATCAAGTGAAGTGTTATACCCAGAATAACAACATCAAACCGTGTTAGTAAAAACATCAACTATCGGACTGCAGATAATCCTTCAAAATGTTTTTGAATAAAGAAAGCTTGGCAGGAAATGCCCTTTTTCTTAAGAGCGAATCCATATCGTGAATAATGCGACATGTAAAAAAAATTCGCCTAACCACTAGCCTTGCCCTGGAGATAATAAGTTTTCTGGGACCACCTCTGGTATTGGATGGTCTAGTTGGAAAAAACTCCAAAAAATCCAATTCGCAATTTCCAAACACGATTTTATGGGCCATTATAAGGTCATTTTTACGTCTTCTATTAGCAAGGGATGTCAAACCCAATTTCTTGTCACGAATCTTGCTATTAGGAATAAGATCATACGCAAAACCCAAAGTGCGAACAAATAGCTTTCGTGTAAAACTTTTCTGAACATTTTCCAAGCAATTTATAGTCTTACACAGATGAGGGTTGTATATCACAGTCCCATATTCTAACATAGGTCTGATGTAAGTCTTATATGCTTTCAAAAGAATCCCTGTGTCCTTCGTTGAGAACGCTCTAGATAAGTTATAGACCGCTCTCATTGCTTTATCCGCAGTAACCTTGCAGTGCTCCTCAAAAGTAAGCCTCCTATTTATCAAGAATCCAAGGTCTCTGACAGACCCTATTGCCCGAAGAACTGAATTTCCTAAAGAGTAACTAAAATTAGAAGTACGGTTTTTAAGGACCAATGCTCATGAATTTGGTTTTTTCTATTGAAATTGGCAAACTCCATTCTTGCGACCATTTATAAACGCCGTCTATCGCTTCTTGCAGGCGCCTGCGATCACCATCGTCGATAACCGTGGTGTACAGCTTAAAATCGTCTGCGAACGCACTGCAAGAAACTGCATGCTTTGTAGGTATAGCGTGCGTCATAGGTGTAAATGTTGAACAGAATAGGAGACAGGACTCCTCCATGGGGCACCCCGCTACCCATAAGTCTGGGCTCAGAGAACGTGTTATTTATACGGACAAGAAATATCCTATCTTCAAGAAAAGCTTTGATCCAGTCGACAATACGAGGATGTAATCCCACATTCCTTAGTTTTTGAACTAGCTTGATGTGGTGTACCTTATCAAAGGCCTTAGTGAAATCCAAGTAGATTACATCCGTATTGAGGCCTCTATCAAAGTTGAGCGTCCATTCATTGAGTGATGGCAACATCGCAGTAGATGTGGACCTACCACGCTGAAACCCGTGCTGTGAAGGAGAAATAATGCCATGGTTATTCAAGTGTTCAACAATATGTTTCTTCAGAACTTTTTCAAATAACCTGGCAAAGACTGAAGTGATACTACTGAAAATTTTTTGGACAGGTTTAAGGTTTCTTTTTCGGAATGGGCGTTACATACGAGGTGCGCCATCTCTTGGGGACTTCAGCCCTAGTTAGACTCATATTGAACAAAAATTGTAGTGGACCAGCAATTATATGCGCAATGGACTTAATGAATTGGAGAGGTAACATGTCGGTAGTGAGAGATGAAGACCTGGGCCAAGTAATCAACAATTTATAAATTTCTTCACTATAAAACCATGGCCCCTCCTCCATCACTGCACACACTGGACTAACAACCACGTCATCTGAAGCCTCATCTGAGAAGGCTTTTTCAAAAACACTAGCAAAACATTCAGCTTTTTCGTAGTCATTGATCAATACGGATCCATCATCAGATAAGATCGCACCAATTCTACTCTTTTCCTTAAGCCTAGAGCTGACAAATCTGTAAAAAAGAAGTTTATTTCCGGAAGAAATAACCTTCTTTTCAGCGACTGAATTGTACTTTTTCAAACGTTTGGTGAAGATGGCGTCAAGACGTCGAAATTGTTCCCAGTAAAAATCATTTCCGGTGCTTTTTTCCCTTTATCTCTCTTATAGTGAAGCCTCCTCAGGTACGTTGGTAGCACCGTAGCGTGCAGTGGAAGTGAGACCCATGGGACAAAGAGATTTATAGCATGGTGGAGTATATTTATAAACAGCTCAGACATGGCATTGACTGTAGCGGCCGCGTTAAGAGAGCCGTACCAATCAATACCGCCAAGGTAGGCAATAAGTCCCTCATTATCAGCATGTTTAAAATCCCTGCGCATGACATAGTTCTATGCTCAGCATAGCTTTGAAGAATGAATTTAACTGTAGGATCACTTGTACCCAGTGGAGCATCAACTCTCACCCCTTTGACAAGACAAGAATCATTGGTGAATACTAAATCTAGCTTATGTTGGCCCAGCGTATTAGAACATACTTTTTGAGAAAGCCCAAATTGATGGCACATATGAACGAACTGTCTGGCAGCGCTATCAAGTCGCGCGGGCATCATAGTAGCGTGGTATGACCAGTCAATACCAGGGAAGTTGAAATCACCCATTAGGAGCAAAGAACTGCCGGTACTGAGAAGGTCCGTAAGTGCCTTGATCATTTGCTTAGTCTTATTTATTGCACAGAAGGGAGACCTGTAGACCAAGATAACACGAATCGCTCTGTACCCAACAATATCAGAACATATAATTTCGTAACCATCAGGTACAGATTCATTAAATACCAGATAAGAGTTAAGATTCTTCCGAATAACTAGAAGCACACCACCGCCCCGCTTACCCACACGGTCGCATCGGTGCACTATGTAATTCTCAAACCCACCGAACATTGAACTGTCACTAATTTTTTCATGCAACCAAGTTTCAGTTACTCCCCCAATGGCAAGGTCATTGTTCATCATATGATATGTAAAGCTCTCAATATTCCTGCTAAGAGATCGTATATTAACTAAGATACATTTCAAAGAAGATTCGGCAGTCCGCGGAAGGTTCATACATTTAAAGCATTGGAGGAACAATTTGGTTGAGTATGCATCAATACAACATCCGACATATTCATAGCTTCGGTGGCATCCGTGCTTGAGCGAACCGAGTTAACAGTACACTCAACACGGGTGTTACGACGAGCTTCTCTATCCCTTCGAAGCTTGTCCCTCTCTTCCTTAGGAAGTGAGGGGAGTATAAATATCCCATGTTGGAAGGGAAATGATTTCATTTGTTTGACTCGTCGTAACACAGTGCCGGTAAATTACGAATTTGGAAGGACGACTTTCAATAACCTATTATAAGTGCGGTGGGGTTTACCCAACCGATAAACGGAAACCGGCCAACAATCGATTCCTAGGTTGTCAAATATCTGACCTACACAAGAATAATCATGAGAAACACGAGAACTACTATTGACACTTCTATCCTCAGGAACGCCGATAATTACAATCGAACGACGTCGCTCAACTTCATCACAAGGCAAAAAAGCTTGGTTTGAAGAGGAAGAATGGTTTGGAGGAACCTCATTGCAGTTAGGGTTTTCGGGGCTGCGGGCGGCAATGAGAGATCGTAATCGATCGTTGTCTTTTCTCAAAAGATCGATCTGTGCATGCATACTATTTAACTGCTCATGCAACTCACGGTTGACCTTTAGTAGTTCATCTCCTTGTTCTCTTGTCTCCAGAAGATACGTGATAATCATTCGTGCATAAATGGGGATGTTCTCGTCCTTGGCCATTTCTTTAGCAGAAATGTCCAAATCGGGAGAAGTGCCAGGAGAATCGAAGTTGATCTTTCGCTTTTTAAGCCGATCGATTGGTTGTAGCGGGAATGACGGCGTCTCCGACATGGCAAAACAGAATCCGAATAGACCAGCAAGAATTCCGGGGAATGGGATATAAGGGGAGCCACTCGAACCTCAATACGAGGGCTAGATCCAGAATATAGCGTATGAAAGACTGAAGAATGCCTGAGCGGATGGGTAGATGGGACAACCGGCGGAGCTCAGAGATAGGCAGCCGCTCGGTGGCAGGTCAGGGCATCGAAAATGTTAAATGAATTTGTTTTTTTTTTGAGAAGTGGGAGCAAAAAAATTTTTCAAATGAAGGGTGACGTTAGTTACGACTTTGTGGGATGCTTCGGGCTCAAGCGCCCTTTAAAAATAGGCTATTTCTAGGAAAATTTATGGAAATACTTTAATTATTCACGAGTGACCGAATTTTTGCACGTTTCTCCAATTCATGTTTACGTTCGACATATTGACAAGATGGTGCTAGTCAATCTCTTCGCTCTTTCGTTGACTAGCTGACGTCATTTTCAACTGCGAGCAGAGCAGTTTTTTGCAGCGTTTGTTCACTCTCGCTTCAAGTGTGTGCTTCTCAGATTGCAAATTCGAGCGGTAATAAGAACCCGGTACCTTGTGAACGCAACCCATATATTCTGAATATTTTCTGAACACGATGCTCCCCTTCAAGCCTCTCCTCAGTGGAAATAATGTATGTGTGAATAGATGAATTTACTGCGCGATATCATCAAGGGTTAGGTCCTTGACTAAATAGTTGGCTATAGTGTAGTGGATGCCGGTAGCGAGTAAACGGTATGAGTAGCGTTGTGAAGTGAACCGCGAGAAAGTAATCGCGTTGAGAACCGGTTTCGCTACCAAAGCTCCACCTCTACAGGACAGAAAGGAAACGACTCGAAAATGTGTCCAGAAACACCTTCAGTATAACTATTAGGTTCGAAAAAAAGAAATTTGTTTTTATAGCAAGTTAATAAGACAAATTTTAGAAAAATATATGAAGGGTATCATTCGATGAAGCAAAGAAAGTTTTGCACAAGATGACCTTTGCATCTAGGATTTACGCATGATTTAGAGCCGAAACATAAGAGCAATTCAGGATGCCAAGAACCGGGGTTTTTCCCTAAGAATTCCTAAGATTTTTACTTGTTCCTGCACCCACGACTTATTCATAGGTGCACTTACTATATTTGTTTCGCGCTTAGAGATATTGAGTTGAGCAGAGAAAAGAGAAACCGAAAATGGCAAACTCCGCTTCCAGTAGTCCTGGGATCCTCCCGAATTGCCTTTGTATACTACACTCAGAAGTTTACCCCCAAAATTTTGACCTTGGATGTGTCCTTTATGAAATACCAAGTTTAACTCGAAAAACGCGGAAAAAACGATACCCATTTCTTTCCAACTTAATACATTCTGATGAGCAAGAACTTTGACAAAAAAAGCTTTTGGTAATGTTTTCATTCATCATGTCTGATCTCTTCGCATCATCAACGCTTCAACATTCAGGTGATTTTTGATAACTCATCCCACAAAGAAGCAGCTCCTGCACCACATTCAAAACAATTTATACATGTTTGAAAAAGTTTTTTTTGTGATCGAAAGCATATGGAAGCTCTTATAGGACACAGCTCTTTTCTCTTATTTGCTGACACAGATAAAAAGAAATAGTGTAAACGCCTATCAACGAGATTACGATTTTTTTTCATGGTTTGACTATCAAAGGAGCAGTAGAAATTGGTACTAATCTGAAGAAAAAATGACCCATAAGCCAAAAACGGCAGTTATATGATATAGATTTATATTTTTAGTAGAGCTAAGGTGGATCCGTCTCCGATCGTGGGCTTGACATATCCTTGGACTTTCGACGAAGAATACTGCTGAACATTGAATGTAGTCGGCTTCTTCTGTAAAACTTCAACTTCATTGAGAATCATTTTAGATGTTGCTGATGATTGAACCTTGCTGGTGGACTGTCTGTATTTTCTTCCATTGACAGAGCATGACTGCTTTCACTTGGCTCTTCACATTCTTCCACGGTAGAAGGTACTTGCTCGGGGATTAGTGAGAGCCTGAAAAAGTGGTGTGAAAGAGGTTATCAGACTATGATCCATTCAAAAAATTCTTCTTTTTTGCAACGTATCCGTTAATTATCAGTTCTTAAAGGCAGCGTCCGGGCAGATCTGGATCTATGGGGATTCTACATGGAAAGTACTTTTGGGGCCCTAATTAAGCCACTGCCCAACCGGCAGCTCAGGTAGTGCTCTAACGGCTGAGATATCCCCCTCGAAACTGGATCCCGCGATCGTATTCGCATGGATTCATGGCAGTTTCGCGCCAGGATCCACCCTTTGCGCCATGTATTCATGCGAATACGATAGCGGGGTCCATTTTCGAGGGGAATATCTCAGCCGTTAGAGCACTACCTGAGCTGCCGGTTGGGCAGTGGCTTAGTTAGAGCCCCAAAATTACTATCCACGTGAGATCCCCATGTGTCCACACTTGCCTGGACGCTGCCTTTAAGATGAATTAGATTTATTGATTTTCAAATTAGAAAATATTAATGTTCAAAGTTTATAAGCTTCAGTTGTTGAGTTGAAGAAGCCGTGATTACTCTAAAAGGCTGGCCTCCTGCAAATTCAGATGACTGGATCATACAGCTGCCTTCGGATAGTCTCTCTTCTCTTCCTTTTTTTTTGAAAAATTTATATGAATAAGAAGTTTAATTTTTTTTTATTTGTTGCCAGACCCAAAATAACGTCTACTCAAATAATTTGACAATTTAGAAAAAGTTGAGGGCGTATTCGCCCACCTGGATCTAAATCGCACGGAACTATCAATGGGGCTAGCTTGGCCAAGTGCTATGCGATCTTCAAGCTCTTCTAGGGCCTCTATGTCGACAACCGATGGCCGTGATGGGGAAAGCCGTAGTCGACCCAGACCTAAGTTGATGATTTCACCTTAATAGTTGAAAAAAAATAAAGAGATTTTGTAAACGCTTACTAGAATAGCCGGGCTGCAGTGTCTCTGGCATTTCTATCCGAGTTCCTTGGAAAAGATTTGCATCGAATGATTTTGATATTACTACCTGAACGATGCACACTGTAATTTGATGAAAATTTGATGGAGCAGAACTTACATGACTATTGCTTTCATCACTCGAAGATGTGGTTGCCCCAGAGTTCTGACTGATACCCGATTCTTCTCGGACCAGATCCGTAAGCACAAGGATGTCACCATCTTCAGTGTCAACCATCTGCATGACGTCATCTATGGACAAGGTTCGCGGCAAGAATCGCATCCTAAAATGATTTCTACGCGGGTTCCGTATGGATAACTGGGAGGTTTTAATTGAGTCCATGCTCAAAGGACAACTCATAAAAGTCACTACCAAGAACATTCAATTTCCTGGACTTTCGCCATTGTCATAGTAAAGCTTTCGAAAGATTACGGTAATGGACAAGAAATTTTCAGATGACCGTGAAGGAATTCTAATTCGGGCTCCAACAAGGTATTGTTCAAGGAGCAGCTCGTAAAAACACACGTGATCGACAAAATTGAACTTTCTAAACTCTCATCTGGTACCGTAATTATACACTTCCGCTCCGAAGGGTTACGCTGCTGGGCGAGAGATTAAAGTTGAATTTTCGGGGCAGGAATGAAAGATACGGGTACCGGAAAATTTAGAGATTTATCTGCAATAAATACTTGAAAATTTACCTGGAGTTGGATACGGTCCTGCA